TCGATTCTCAGCACCACATATAAATAAATAAAGGTCTATCAACAACTAAAAAGGTATTAAAAATAGTACAATTCATTGGCAATGTTATGATTCATGTAAAATTTATTTTTTTATTCTCAAAATATTTTATTCTCAAAATATTGAGTAATRTCCACATGCTTTTGTATCTAGAAACACAACTACCACTGAGAATCCCTAGGTTTCMTTGCAAGGTGAAATAAACTCAATGTTTTAGTAAACTTTTTTTAAAGTTAGTMCTTCCTTGTAGTTGCATTCTTTAGTTGTTGATTAACTCCCATGAGTRTCATGATATATTGTCACACACATTCATGCACCCACATCCTAATTTTTTTTTTCACTGAGAACAGTCTTCCTATGTCTTCACACTAGAGAAATATTATGAAAAACAGAAAAGAGAGATATTAGAGGAAATAGTCAATTTTCAATGGTAGAAAAATACAAGTAGGTGGGAAGGCTACTATTGTTATAAAATGATAAATTGTATTCATTTGAAAATGCCTGTACATTTTGATTTTTACAATTGGAGAACCTCTAACATTTTCTACTTTGTTTCTCCAAAACAGAAAGGAAATACTGCTCTTCACATTGCATCTTTGGCTGGACAAGCAGAAGTTGTCAAAGTTCTTGTTAAGGAAGGAGCCAATATTAATGCACAGTCTCAGGTATTACAGATTTTTCTCTAATGGAGATAAAYTTAAATTGGAATGGTTTATTAGCTGTGTTTATTAGCTGCTGTGCAGGGATTTATTATAAATCCTGTCATTTATTTAAGCAAATTATTTTATTAACTCATGCAATTAAGTTTTTTACTTCTTGACATATTGTAATCTCCCTTTTGATGTAACTGAACACTTGACAAATGTAAGTCTATCATTATTTTTAAGTATTTTATAAAAGAATAGTGATTTTTTAAAGAATGACAGTGATATCCATGAATATGAATTACTTATGTCAGTTCTGTATGGCTCTATGAAAGTATTCTTTCTCCTTAAATTTAAAAAATTCTCAAAAGATTGACATTCTACTGGGGAAGTCTGCTGTTAAGTGGGAAGCACACTATTTTGGTTATCTCAAACTTCAAATGTGAGTTTTACTAAAACATGAAGAGAAATAGGCAAAATTCACTCCAATAGCCTTCTGATGCAAGATCTTAATGAACTTAAAAAAACATTTAAACAATACTTATTTAATCAAAATTATACTATTAAGTTGACTCCTATTTTTTTTTCCTGGTAAAGAAAGAGAGAAAAATGTTTTACCCAAAGTTTTACTCTTGGTATCTATAATGCATATATACAGGATTTGATTTGCATATATTACTAGTGAAATGCATTCCTTCAGCATACACAAGGCTTTGAGGCTAGTGACCTGCACCACCCTGCCTTGCTGTCAAAAAAAAAAAAAAAAAAAAAAGCACAAAAACATTTCTCTTATTTTTTTTAGGTTTCTCAGTAGATTTTCTGAGTACACAGGCCACATCATGGGCAATATTGACAGAATAAGCCAGCTTCTTTTTATCAATTCTTTGAGGTAACATCACCATCTTGCCTTTGTGTAGAAACATTTATTTCCTCTTTTTTAATTTATTCATCACATACACATGGTCCTGGTTGTATAGACTACACAGGTTCTAGAGACCCAGGAAATACTAAAGGCAAAGGTTAGAACCAGCCATGTTTTCTTTTAGTTTGGTTACAGAAAAAAAAAATCCATTAAAATTGTGACAGGTAGGACACTGTACATTAGTGTTTAAAGTGGTGACAATTCTTTTTTCTTACAACTTTTAAATACACATCAATATTTTCATATTAATTAAAAATATGCCTTAGCCTGAAGTCTTTATTTCATAAAATTTCAAAACTTGGTACCATCTATAATGAATACTAGTATGTCCAATAATGTATAATAGCATCTTAAGTTTGGAGACAAAAACTGTACAAAATTCACTGCTCCAAAGTAGGAATTAAGACTATCTTATAGCAAGGGAGCATATTTTTGTGTTAGAGCAGAGGTTTTCCAACAATATCCTTGCATCACAATCACCTGCTGGGCTTGTTGAAACACATTTCTAGGTCCTACCTCAGAGTTTGTGACTCCATTCTGTGACAGTACCTGAGAATCTTAATTTTTCACAAGTTCTCAGATATTCTGATGCTACTGGTCCAGGGAACTATTGCTTTAAAGAATGTGAGAGAAAACTGGGTGTAAGATGTTGCAGTAAATGTCATTAAGTGCAGATTTAACTGCACGTCTAAATCAATAGAATACTTACAAATCACAGAAATGAAGGCTGGTTAAGTTCAGTTGCTCAGAGGATGCTTCCCTTCCTTTAATTGGAAAGTCACATATACATCAGCGCTGTTAGTATTTATAAAAATAACAAGGTTACATTTCTCAAAATGGATAAGTTGAACATAGTAATGTCATAAAAGTTGATAGATTGCCAATGCTGCAAAATAAGTGCTTGTTAAAGCTATAATATCCATTATTCCACAGTGGTTATTGGAAATGCACATGCTGAGGCAAATTTTCAAGGAGAATAAGCTGAAGCTATCTTATTATAGTCACAACCATGCCAGAGTGTAACATCTTAAAAACAGATGTATATCATCATTAAGAGATCACAGTAATCCTTATTTGTACATATACTATTAGTTCAATTTAGAATTTATGTTTTAGGGAATCCTGGTAAATAGTTTCAAATGGATTTTTATATAGGCAGAAGGTTTTTGAGTAAGAAAAATCAATCAAATTTTAGGATGGTTTTCTAAATGCCTAAATCATTTGATAAGACCTATGACATCATTTGCTATTATTCAATTTAGGTAACCATCATTATCAATTGGCAACATGTATAATTACATAGAATTATCAGTGATTCAATGATTGAAATTAAAATACATGAATTTATATTAGCAGATTGATTATTTTGTTACTGTGTACAAGCAAGTCCCCAAAAGCATGATTTTAAGGCCATTGAGAGCTGATATGACTTCTTCCTCATATTTGATTCCTCACARTTCTATCTTATTTAAAATACAAATTTATTTTTTTCTATATATTTCCAGTTATTTTATTAGTACATAGGATAAAATGTAAAGTTTTTTTCATAAAATTTTGGGATTGCAAATATCTTCATCTATATAGGAAAATATTTTTTAAATGATTTTTTCCTTTCTATTTCTTTTAACTACAATACAAATTTCTTTATGTGATATCTTGAGGTTTTGGGTAGATAGGCAGGCTTATGACCATGGCAGATGGACAGGCACTTCCTTTTGGGAACCACAAAAAAGACATAGGAGTCTGAAATGCCCAATATAAATTCTGAATTTTGTATTGAAATTATTCCTTCCTCAACATCTTTCTAAGAATATATTATATAATTCAAAGCACTGAAATGCAGAATAGTCTGAAATTACACTTTTCCTAACAAGCATCTGAAGTAGGCTACTAAAATTATTTTTGAAATAAGAATGTAAAAGACTGAAAATTTCCAAGAAATAAACATTCAGTAAAAAATTTGGGGTCCATAGGTTATAAGAGAAGCAAATGGTAATAGTTTTATTTTTAGCATTCTCTGCATAAATTATAGTTCCACATGTGTTAAAAAAAGAATTATTCAGTGATGCTTGCTAACGAATGGTAAGGAAGACTTTCSTCAAGACCATTGCAATAAATGGAGAGGTCATTGTTTGTGGTCCATCAGTGGAGGAAAGAGATTGGGCTTGWCTCTGAATATAACATGGGCAAGTGAAAATTTATGGCCAAAGAGCAGTGTGGGGCCATTGGAAGGAAAATTACTCAGAGGAAGCATCAGAAATAAGGAAGATTTTTATGAAACTGACTATCAGAATTTTTGCAAAAAACATACCAGGGTGATCAGATACAACTTGGGGAATGGCACAGGATTAAGAACCTGATCAGATATTGAGGATGATCACATATGATGAGACTGATTTAGCAGGGTTCTTTTTGCTAAARCTGGATTTTACAAGGAAGTGCACAGATGGGTCTCCAAGAAGTTTCAGAAACTTGACTGAAGTTTGGCCAACCAAAGAATCTTTGTCATTTGTCACATGACATAGTGCCAATTTTGGTAGGCAGTATCATTAATTCATGAGAGTCCTGAAATACCATCAGAATCAATTTATCTACTTTAAATGAATTATGTAACTGTTATTGTAACAAAGAACAAATGTTTACTTACATTTCTGTATTCAGCAGTGTCAGCAGTGTGGGCTTTAAAGATTACTCTTGACCATGTCTCTGGCTTGGTTCTTTGGTCTCCTGGATTCAGTGATATGGAGGTCTCATCTACYTCAGTGAACGCTGTCTTGGTGAAATAATGGGACTGAACATTAGATCAGAGTGAATTGAGGAATGTTGTTTGTTCTGAGGATAACTGTTGCTTTCTAAAAACAGGCACACTCAGGAAATCTTTACTAGACATATAACATGCTCCACACAAGTATGAATGCTTTCCATCTGTCTGCATGGGCATTTGTTGGGTTACTTTTGTAAACTGTAAATCTATTGGACTCAAAGACATGATTTAAAAAATTGTTCTAATTCTATCTTGTAAGCAATTATGCTTTTGAAAAAATTTTAAATATTCTGAGCCATGAATTAATTCCTTAAAATACTTGCAGTTTTTGTTTGCTTTTTTCCCATTGATACTGGCTTATCTTTGGTTTATTGTGTATCTACAGTTTCTCCAAGATGGTAAACTTCTTGGGAGAAGACTTTTTTGGTCATACTTTTTTTAAAAAAAATAATTTTAGGAATTCACAGATATATTATTAAAAGCTGAACATATGCACACACACTCTTCATGYATTAAGAATTAGCTTTGTTGCAATTTCTATCATTCCTAACAGTAGATGTTAATATAATAATAATACAAGTAATAATATTGATGACCATGCACMATCTGTGGCCCATTGTGTATGTCTTTTGATCTTCATTTACTCTGTCATTGTTGATRGCAAGCTGGGACTCAGATGGTCCCTTTGCTTGCCCATARTCTTCATTCCATGCRACATTCCTTCTCATAGTTCCTATGWCAGTTCTACCTTTCCTTAGACCCAAAGAATGTGTGTGTACATATTTTGGTACCAAGGATTGAGCCCAGGGTCCCTTAACCATTGAGCCACATCCC